ATGTAGAAAAAAAATATCATTAAGTCTGTAAAATGACATACATGCCTGGTGAATGATGTTAATAACATACTTTTCTTCTCGTACTTTGAGATCTATAGTATTAAGATGAACCTCAAAGCCTAAAAAATAATGAACAACTCCTAAATCTCAAAGCTTAAACTCTAAACTCAGCAATTGGATCAATTATTGAAGTAAAACTAAATTGCTTTCAATTAATAAGATATCATCAATGAAAACTAAAAGATTAAAAATATCATTACCCATAGATAAAATGAATAATGAGGTGTCAACCTTTAAAGCATAAAAGCTAATAGAGGAGAGATAATCACTAAACTGAGTATGCCATGCTTGAGGAGCTTGATTTAAGCCATATAAGAATTTATGCAATTAACACACATGAAAAAAGAGAGTAGAGTCAACAAAACCTGAAGGTTGTTGTAGGTAGATCTCTTTGTCAAGTGTCCCATTGAGAAATATATTATGAATATCAAGTTGATTAATCTTCTAACCACATGACACCGCAACGGTGAAAATTAACCAAACAATGGCTTGTTTAACAATAGGACTAAAAGTCTCAAAAACATTAATATCTTTATGTTGACTAAAACATTTAGCAATTATATAAGCCTTGTGGCATGTAATACTTTTATCAACATGATGTTTGATCTGTATACTCTACAACAATTAATAACATTTCTTGAATGATGAAAATGAACCTAGAACCAAGTGTCGTTGGAATACAGTGCTTGAATTTCAGCCTTCATAACATCTTGCTAAACTTCATATCTATTAGCATAAAAAAAAGTAAGTGGTTCATAGGGACAAAAAACTACTCAAGATGTATGATTGCTAAAGATGACAGAATAAGTAGTCAGATTAACTATCTTTGGCAATTGCATTCGAAGAACTATATGATGCATACTAGCCGCATATGACAAGATAGAGAGAACTGGACTATGATGATGACGTATGATGATGTTACAATGGATAAGATAAGAGGTCAACAACCAAATTTAGTAGAGGAAAAACTTGTTACAAATGCATCATTGTTAGATAATTAAGAACTAGTAGTAGAAAAATTGGGAGAACCAATAACATCAGACCTATTACGGTACAAATCAGAAAGGGTTGGACTTGTACATATAATATGATTGTTAGAGAAACATGTATGTGGTGATAGAAGAGCAAAACTTGTGGGCCGATATAGGTGGACAGAAATAGTAGTCTGAGAGACTACAAGAGTAGGAGAATGGAAAGGTGGGGAGCTAAGGAAACTAGGCCAATGAGTAAGATAAGGAAAATAGAGAAGTAGTTGTGCAATTTGTTTAGATTTGTCAAAAGAAAAGACTTGTTTGTGAAAATAAACATGACGAGAGATATAAATGCCTTGAAATATAGTGTCAAGACAACGTTATCTGAGATGAGAAGAGCTATAACTTAAGAACACATATGGAGAGGAGCAAAAATCTTATTTATGATTATGACATGGATGCATAAATTAAAAATAAAAATGCCCAAATCTACATAAAAAATCATAATCAAGAGAACATTGAAAAAGACAGTCAAAAGAAGACCTATTATCGAGGATAAGAGTAGGCATTCGATTGATAAGATAAGTCAAGATTTCAAAAACATAATTTTAAAATCTTAATTGTGCTTTACATTGCTCTAAAAGAGTTAAATCAATTTTCATAATATGCCTACAACGACGTTCAACCGTTTCATTTTGTTCATAAGTATGGAGATAAATTAAATGATATGAATTCTAATAGTTTGAAAAAAAATGAATAACTTTTGGTATTCACTGATCTAATCATTTTGAACAAATTTAATTTTTTACAAAAATTAACGCTGAAAAAAATTCTCAAATTGATGAAAAATAGAGAAGACATTAAACTTCCTAATAAGAGGATAATACCAAATAAAAAAAAGAAGCAGGACCCCAAACATCACTAAATATTAATTCAAGTGGATCAGAAGTCTTGTGACCTGTAAGTCCTATCGAAAAAGGTGACAACTTTATTAATAGACAAGTTTAACACTGAAAATCAAAACGTCTAAAGTTATAAGTAATTTTATTTTTCTAAGACTATAAAATTAAAAACACCAAAAGTAGGATGACCTAGTGAATGATGTCATAGATCAACAGAAGAAGCAGATACATAAGGAGACTAATAAGCTTGAGGAATTGATCTGACAGAAGATTCAGAAAAAACATAGAGACCATCTTTACTTTGATCAGAAAAGAGTAGTGCATTATTATTGAGATTTTTAATATAAAACACAAATGATTAAAATTTAAAATAAATATTATTATCAAGAAAAAAGTTTTGAACAAAAAGTAAAGATTTTTGAATACGTGTATATGAAGAATATTAGATAAAGAGAAGGTACGTTGTGATGTATGTAACTTAACATAGCCAATATTAGATATGGAAAATCCCTTACTATAATCAACATATAAGTGATTATCACCGAGATATGGTTTTGACCTTGTCAGATTTGTAAGATCAAGTGTGACATGTTGATTCACAATAGTGTTAGAAAACTAATCCACAGAGTTTGTAGAAGAAATATTGTTAAGTGTAAGATTAACACTAGGTTGTTGTCCATGACTTTAAAACTGAGCAAACTAAAAGGTTGAGTGACCAAAGGTTTGGCAGAGCTGACACCAGACATTAAACTACTATAAAGGGCCATGATTTTGTTGATTTTATTGCCAATTCCCTTTCATTTAATTAGTGTTTAAAGACTCAATAAAACTTTAAAAATTAGATCTATTATTACACTTGTTATTGTTGTTGGTAGCATTATTATGTTAGCCTTTATAAAAATGTCTTTTATGATAAATAAAATATTAATTGTTGTTAGATGAATTAGTATTATGATGTTGAGCAACATAAGCTGATGGGGCTAGAGTGGTGTAGGTAGTAAATGATTAGTGACAATAACACCAATAGATTGAAGGGAGGTCTTGTGAAAGAACTCATAAGTTAAAAAAATGATTATAAAGATCTGCATATAAAAGAGATTCTATCTTGGCCATGATGCTTGTTACCAAGTCTTTGAACTCACTTCGAAGATCACAAAATACATACAAATTGAAGTCCTCTAGGGAAACTAAATTGCCAACAGTAGTTAATTCATTAAATAATACCTTTATTTTTTGTATAAATATAGTGATCGAATCATCACCTTGTCAAAGATCTTGAAAAGAATCATAGAGTTGTATAATGTGAGAGTTACATAAAAAAATAAGGGCTTGCTTAATGGTACGCTAAAGACAATACATTGTTTGAAAATCAATAACAAGATGTAATACATTCATTGAAAAAGAAGAAAGTAATGCATTCAGTTGGTTTTGTTGTTTCCAATGAAGAAAGAAATTATTAACTTAAAGAGAAAACACCATCAATAGTAACCATATGAGATAAAGACATGGTAAAGAGCCATCAATAAGGTGGAAAACATCTTATCCAATAAGATATGATTTCATCTATATTCACTAATAAAAATAATTTGTATTTTTAAGTTTCAAATAAATAAATTGATGAGTATTGGAAAGGGGAATAATTGGGACATTCCTAACAGTATCAATAAGGAAGAGTGCAAGATTAAATCGTCCATGATGGCAAGATTCATGACAATAATAAAAAGGGAAGAGTGCGAAACAGAGGGAGATTAAAAGGTTTGAAGATTTATGAAAATAATATGAGAAGCTTCCAAAACAGAAAAGGAAGAAGAAGTTTGCACTAGTGACTTAGAAAAAAAAGTCTATTAAAGAGAAGGAAAAAGAGTTTTAAAGTGTTATGACTCTGATATCAAGTTAAGAATAATATAATGCTTAACTTAGTAGTTTGTTAATCTTTTCTATTTATACGTTTAGAGCAATGCACAATAGTTAATATAGAGATTATAATACAAAAATAATAAATCTTTCCTAACTATGTACTAGCCTATAATATGTAATATACTATAATACTTCATAAAGTTATTTTTAATAAAAAAATTTCTTAATACCAAAGTAAAGTTCATGTGTAATTATATAAAATGACATCATACTATCATATACACATAAACACATGTCAACTTATATAGAATAGAAGTTTGCATGTGATTAAATGTCTAATTACTTATTAACCTCGATCTCAAAAAAGAAGTAAGAGATTAAATTAAAAAAAAATCATATTTAATCATTTTTAATTTTACAAAAAAAAAGGAATAATTTTTAATATTACATTAAATTTTTTTTTTGACTTAGTTGGACTTGATCTAATTAAGTTTCATGAAATTAAGTTAGATTAAGGCTCACTTGGTCCATGAGCTAGTTTCCTATCTATGATAAGATTTTTTTCTTTTCTTTACGTTTATTTTTGTTATTCTTGTTAACTTTTTTATTTTTTTTATTTTATTTTTTCTATGCTAACATGTAGAGTTGTATAAGCTATAATTTTATCTATATTTTAATTAGAATTACCATATTCACGATGAGTCAGGTGATGTGATCAAATTATCTTATGATAAGAGTAAGCTATGCAGTAGAATTATAATATTTTAGGATAAATAGCTCTAAATTTAGTCTATAACAAAGATTTATGTCACCTCAAAATAAAAAAAAATATTTATTTAATTTTTTTTATTTTTCTTAAATATTTTAAAGTCAAACATATATCACCTAGCCTGTTATTGTAAATAAATACGCTCAAATTTAGTAAATTTTTTTTTTTTGCGATCTCAATTTTTTTTCCTTCTCTCGAGACGGTATGCCATTACTAAATTATAAATCAAGAGATAATACAATATATTATTATGATTGAATTTTCACGAGGGAAGTCAATAAGGAAGATTTCACCAACTGAATTGTTGAATTACAACCACTAATCGAGTAGGAAGAGGATGGATAAATTGTCTGTGATTCTCAGTGTTTGGAGAAGGGTTTTTATGTAATTTAAGCAGCATATAAGTTGCTAGCTACAAACCCTACCGATGTCTGTCCGTGTCTACGCCAGAAGCTCCCCTAAAGATTGTTGATAGCTACAGAGTGGAGAGGACAAAGCTTTTACTTGATTGATGATCAATAGACAGACAACCCCACCAGCTATTCCTTTCCTTCCCTACATAATAAATACATTGTAAAAGAAAAATAATATACTCCTACTATGTGGTATATAAGGCCTCACTTCCTGTTTTTGAGCAGAAATAGTGGGGGAGAGAGAAGAGAGGAGAGCACTTTTTTATCCTCCAAGCTATACAGTCCCTTGCTTGTTTCAGCTTTATATTTATTCTCTACCTGCTTTCAACATCTTCTGAAAAATCTCCTGTGGCTGTGGCTGTGGCTGTGGCTGTGTGCCTGTGTGCCTGTGAAAAAGATGCCCCTCCCTCCCTCATGTGCCCTCTTCTCTCTTTCTTTTATGTTTAAACCGAATAACTTTGCCAGATTTGTAGAGATCTTCTATCGCTTTCTAGCTCTTCTCTGACTCTCATGAGGACTGCGATCTTTCCTCTTCCCTGCCTTTATTGCAGCTCCTAAGTAATTGCCTTCTGTGATTTCTGCACTTCTTTCTTTATTCCACTCTTTCATTTTTATTTTCCCTTCTATAAATACTCCCTCAGTTCTTTGTTGCTGACTGCTGACTACTCTTTTGATTCCTTTCTTTTCCAAAAATGAAGAAAAATAAAATAAAATAAAAAGACATTGCAGCTGAAGCTGATCACCGTGGAAGCACTGGATGCTTTATAGGTCAATTTTCATGCACGGCCAATCTCCATGGAGCTATATGGTGTCGCAGAAAACCGCTTTGGTAAGCAAACTGTAACCTTTCTTTCGTTAACGCAACCCCATTAGGTCCTATAAATGTCTTGTTCATCTTAACCTCAAGCTGGTTCTTTCTTTGTTTGCAGAGAAACTGATCTTTAGGTTTTATATAAGGTTGACATCTTGATGGAAACTTTAGTGTTATTGCAGGGTGAAAAAAGAAATGGGTGGATGGATCTCTGATTGCCATAAAATTAAGGTAACGGATGATCATCATCTCAACCTAAATTGATCTAATATTAGACACTATTTCTTGAGTTCTTCAGCAATCTAGGCTCCAGTGCTTGGTGGGATTTTCCTGTTTTGGCAATTGAGCTGACCTATTCGCTTTCTGATTACCCTTTTCTTTTCCTTGACAAGAAAAATAACTCTCATGACTTTAGGGTTAGGGTTCATGCAACCACATTTTCAACATTCTAATTCGTAAATCAGTACCATTTTCTGTTACTCTTTAATTCCTTGGTATATTAGGGCAGGTCGATTGGAATATTCCTAATTTTGTTGCTTCCTATATCTTAATTTTAAGGTTCCAAAATTTGGTAGATAACATGTTAAGAATTATTCCTGCTGTTTTCTCCTTTGTTTTTTTAGATGGCCTACAACTAGAAGTCATTGTCTTGAACAAGCTTCCAAAATGACATGTTCTTCTTCCAATATCCTATGAATTTGAATTATTGTTGCCTTTCTCAGTTTATATAGGATCTCAAAAACGACTTTTGATTTCTTGAGTCCCAGTTTGTTTTTTGGCGTTGAAAAACATTTTTGCTATTTTTTTTTAAATTGATTTTTTTCGTGTTTTTGTTTTTTTATGTGTTGGTTTTAAAATTAATTTTTTTTTAAAAATATTATTTAAATATATTTACAAAAAAAAAACTTTAAAAATCAATAGCGGCTATTAATATCTCATGAACAATGAATTACATTTAGTGCCAATCACAGGAGCTTAATTTATCGTTGATATTTGCTATTTATTAGTAGTTTTTAATGTCCCCTACTACCCAAAATTGAAAAGAAAATCATTCTGTTTAATTTACAAATCGAGTAGTGAAATTGAATCATTGCACTTTCATAGTTTGATTTAGCTTGAAAAGAATGTTTTAGGCTTTTTCATATATAATTTGTGTTAGCCATATTAATGTTTGCTAGTTGCATATATTCACCTCTCCGCCCAGCATTTAAACATCTGTGACAGCCAAACACCTCAGCTGAATACGTTGTGAAATTTCTTAATTTTCATGAAAAATGGTTTAACAGAGCTTCCTTCAGTCCACTCATGGACGGGCGAAGGGTTTGGATTAGCTGCCGACTCATTCATTCAAACACAGTAGACAAGGAGTGGCAGCGGCTGCTATTGTGAATGTGTGAATGACGCGGGAGATAAATTTCATCCTTTTCTTCTCTGTGCTTGGACTGAAGGGAGCTCCCTTTAATTGTTTATTCACGATCTTAGATGACAAGATTCTTTTCTTCAAATTTCCTTCCTGTCATGTCGAGGAAGTGAAACATATAAATATTCTTGTTAATTAGATCTCAATATTCACCCCGTAGAGTCCTAATCTTGCCTAATCATACGATCCTTTTGCTCCATATTCCTTCCACATCTGAAGTAAAACCGTATGCTTGCATGACCGTAAACCTTTCACGAATGGGTTTTTTTTACCTAAGTTTGTATATGTTATGTTAGCACTTTGTAGGTTATTTTGTGTTTGTAGTTTATTATAGGCGCTCTCCTCTTTCTTGCACTCCAAACCATTTATGTATCTTTAACATTTTGAAGGGAGGCTATTGTGCTTGCTAGAAAGCTCTGACCAAAGGAAGATAGTATGAAACTAGACTGTGCTAGCCCCAGTATAGGTGAATGATCATATGAGATATTCATATTGATCTTTGCACATGCCTGTGTTAAAAAAATAGCAAGCAGTACCTGCGAAATATATTCATCCATTTTTTGTTCTGGAAACGTACCTTTTCCTTCTATTTGTGTAAATCACCTCTGCCAATTACATTATCAAAAGAATGATAGCTCATATTAGACACAATATTCTCACCGTGTTAGTTTTTCTAGAAGTAAAACATAGGATTGCAACTGTGCTAGCATCGATTTCAAATCCTCAACAATAGCACCAATTTCCCAATGAACAGAATCACCAGGCTGGTTGATAGCATTGACAGCCGCCGTGGCATCAGATTCAATCACCACGTGCTGGTCTGCAAACTGCTCCGCAAACCTTACTGCTTTCTATAATAGCCACGGCCTCTTCGTCAACGGCTGATCAGCACCTGAACGACGGCACTTTGCCACCCACAATCTGCCCACTGGAGTTCCTACAAAACCATGCAAATACATGTTGGCTCAGATCCATTGATGAAGGAGGCATCACAGTTATTATTGGCAGTACCCTGATTTGGTAGGTCTATCTGGATGGTCAATCTGCACCATGCCTTTTTTAGCGGACTTCTGCCCAAACAATTGTGGAATTTATCCCAACAAGATAGCGGGCTCTACTGTCTTCTGTAGCACTAATGCCCAACCTGCAAACAGGAAATCGTTCCTCGCCATCCACACTTCTCAACTGACAGAGACAATTAAGGAGACAACCTCAGCACACTTTCCCACTCAACTATTCAGCACCCCTCCCAACCATTTTCCAAACCCGCAAGACCCGCCCTTTGAGTGACGTAACCCACATTTGAAGCAAACCAAACTGCGGTAGCGTGAGGGCGAAAGAAAAGCATATGATCAACGGTTCCCACCTTCCCGCCGCCTGGTTATTGACAACTAATCATTAATTTTGCTTGTCATGAATGAGATTTAAAGTTCTTTCTGACAAAAATTATATGTATATATATTACTTGTTTTTGATTTTTTAGATTATTGTATATATTAAAAATAAAATTTTAAAAATAAAAAAATTATTTCCATGTATTTTCAATTAATCCTTTATATATATATATATATATATCTTGTTTTTGATGATTTAGATTATTGTATATATTAAAATTAAAATTTAAAAAATAAAAAATATTATTTCCATGTATTTTCAATTAATCTTTTATTGCTCTCCAAAAAAACTAAAGTCTTGGTTCAGCCTCCACCTTCAATCCTTGTTATCACATGGGAATCCGCAGTGCATTTTGATCATTGTTCATCGGTCAAAAGGTTAGATGTATTTATTCCACGAGCTGGCTGACCATAAATGAATGGAGATAGAATTTAACATAAATTTGGCAAGGTAAAGAGTGATGTTCTTTTTACACTTTAGTTCCATGTCCCTTGCTTGCTCTCCCTGTACCACCTTCCTTGTCTGTCCCTCCACATTACCCTTTTTGAAGGAGTGTGTGGCTTAGCTCGTCTCCTGTTTGTATCAGGACTGGGTCTGAAAGTACGATGATGCAGAATTGCATGTTGCTTTCAGTTTAGCTAACAAGTAGCTTAGGCGAGTCAATGATGAACAAATATAATGCAACGAGTATTTTACCTTTTCCTCTCTCCTGATCAGTTCTCTAGCCAGTTGTAAAACTAGCCAATGCCAGCCCCAGGGGACCAGGGTAGGCTTGTGTCATTGAAAAAAAAAAGAAAAAAGGAGAGGCTGAGACCTGAGGATTCCGCCAGTCCAATCGAAGAAAGTGGGTAGACGGTGGTCATAAATATTTAAGCATTAAATCTCTCCACCTCGTGGCCTGAGCCTTTAAAGCGTTCGTGGTTGGAACTTGGAGCTAGTTTATGGGCTACATGGCTTGTTCCCACTTCCCACCCTCACCCTCTATTAATTATTTAAGCCCTGTGTTGTGTTTGTTTTGCTCTACAAAATTGGGCGTCCATTATTTTATTATTAGCCACCAGTGAATCACATTACCTGTTTCCATACTAGTAGCAGTCAGCATTAAGTTAGAGATAAATTAAGAGGGAGACAGGGCTGGTCCCTGCCGACTAGGTATCACCTCAATTGCTAGCATCATTTTGTGTTGGATTCTTGCTCGATTGATAGCGGATCCTTTGAGATGAAGGGCCTGACTTTTATCACTTGAAATTGTGGTGGCTAATGTGTAAGGATCCCACAATAACTGGGTTATAATAAGCGCAAGGATCTGACAACAACTAGCATATATAAAATAAGGCAGTTCCTGGGGGTGACCAAGGCACAGGGTGGAAGTACAATGGAAGTTGATTTTATATTGTTCATCGGATTCATGGGGCGTGTGTTTTGCTGTCGTCTTACGCATCTTTCCAAACATTTCCTAGCATTGCATACGAGAATGGCTTTTTGGCTTTTGAAATAAAATCTGCTGCCACCAACAACTAATGGTGTTTATTTCCAAGTATCTTGTTGAGCTCTCATGCTGCTGCTGCCGCTGCTGCATGTGTGTGTGTTTATATATATATATATATATATATATATATATATATATATATATATATATATATATATATATATATATATATGCACATGATTTAGGCATTGCATGTGTACATGCACGCGTCTATAACCCATTTGATTGATTTCGATTTAGATAGAAAAAATGCAATCATTAAATACTTTTTAAATCCATCGCCATCTAAAAAGAGCATCAGGGTTTTCAACCGGAACCAACCTTTCGCTCTTATAGATTCGCAAAAACAACCGTAATTACATGTGCCCTGTTTTGTCTCTCTTGCTGGAATACATACACATTAATAAACAAATTAAATGAGATCACTTGACGTTTCATATCTTACTATTTATATCATTGTTAACGGGAGCAAATTTACTTTCCAAGTTCAATTTTAAATTTTTTTCTATTTTAGTTATTGAACTTTAGTTTTTTCAATTTTATCCTTAGAAGTTATGTTATCATGACTTTATATATATATTCTTGAATTGTATGCTATCAAGGGTCTAAGATATCAAATAATATTCTAATGAAAGGTCGATTTTATTTTATATAATTTTTAGTTGTCATAAAAGAAATTAAAACAGTAGGGAACAAACTTAACTTGAACAAAAAAACACCCTCTTTCCTATCTTAATTGTTCAAAGAGTGCGTAAAACTTAAACATGTTTTTGGATTTTACATTTCAATCCTAAATTGTAACTTTATTAACGTTTTAACTCCTAGATCATGAGAGAGAGGGGGAGGGGAGGGGGGATTCAATTGGCCACAATCCAGTGGGAAAAAAGAAACAATTTTCATGTTTTTGAGTTCAAAGAGGAGTTCATTGGAGAGGATAATTTTCCTTGAACATTGAAAAAGAAAAGAAACTAGATTGAAGCCTATAATTAAAATTTATTTAAATTCAGTTAGATTTTTGGTTTTTAGGGTGGTTATAGGATTTTTTTTTTTTGAAAATAGATTTATTAAAGTTTTTAGGATGCGTTTTTAAATGTTTTTGGATCAAAATAAGTTAAAGATTAGGTTTTTGATGTCTTGAAACTTAAACTTGGATTGGATTGCCTGAGGCATCTGGAGAAGATAACAATGGATGACAAGTTAGTTTTTTATCCAAGTACGCAGAAGACACGACAATATATCCTTTCTCTCATTTAGTTTAAGTATTTTTTAAATTGCAAAACATCTTTTTATGGCTTTTATGATCTTATAATACATATAATAGTTGTAATTTGAATTTTTAAAATCCTCTTAAATCTAAAATAGATTTGTTGGATATGCATTATGCATTTATAAATACAAAAATCATATATCTTAAAAACCATTGTAAATCTATAAGATAAATAAAATGAAATATATAAAGGTAAAATGTTTGTATTTATATTTATCTTTTATTTCTTTGAAAAATTAACTTTCTATTTTAATTTTTAACTAGTGTGAACAATTTTTTTATTTTTTATTTATCTGTTAATATATTTTTCATTCATTATTATATTAAACACAAACATAATATTTTTTCTTTCTATTTAAATGTCCTTTGGCAGGACTAATGTTTTTTCAAACGTAAACTCTCTGTATATGGAAAAAGAAGTAATGTCCTTTGGCAGGACTAATGTTTTTTCGAACGTAAACTCTCTGTATATAGAAAAAGAAAAACAAAAACTTAATGATGCTTATATATATGTATCCTCTAGCTAGTGAGCGAAACTCGGGACGTTTGGTATGCGGAGCTGGTCTCCACGTTGAGGATCTCTGGTACTCAATGTCACAAGCATTCAACACAAAAACCTGACCCAAGCTCAGCTGCGGCCCAGTATATTCATTATTTTCGTTTGTGCTAGTTTTACATGCTGATGACATCTTCTTGTGACGGGTAGATTTGGGACCTGCAGCCCCTCTTGAACATGCCGGCCTCATTACACCGTCGAAGGTGTCCTTGTCTAGAGTGTGCTGGCCTTCGGCAACCAGGAGGTATAACCCGTTTCTGCGAAGCTCAATAGAGTCCGGCAATACCAGTAGCGATTGATCTGACCTACATCTAAGTATGTGGGTTAGACGCAAGAATCTCTTTAACGTGGGTGCCTTTCTTGATTTTCACCGCCTTACCATTTTGTTTGATAACATGGGCATGCCTATGAGATTCTCTTCTAACTCTTGTTTTACTTCCTGCTGCATGTGTAAGGTAGAATTTGGTGGTTTTATGCATGTATTTTTTGGTGCAGACAAAATGGTTGAAGCCACCATTACAATGTAGGGCAGTACTAAAAAAAATTACATGAGATTACTGGTATTAATTTAAGCCACCGATATAATTAATAAGCAGTGAGGTTGTAACTCATAGTCTTGATATGTAGTTGAAATTGTTAGCTGCTTAGTGATCAGCACCAGCTTACCAAAATGAAAATGAAAGCAGGAGATACCAACCTTGAAGCAAGACCTGAGTGAAAAGAAACGAGGGAACAAGGCCAAACTACTGAAGCACCAAAAAGGCTAAGGCTAAAAGAAGAACAAGTTGTAGCTGTGAACACTGAAAGCAAATTAAGAACAAGTTTGAAAGACAGAAATAGTACTATTATACATCTGTTGGGATAAGCGCAACAACCATTCTATCTCTTATTCGATGGGGACAGGAACCCTCATATATGATGAACTCACAATTGAAGAGCCAAATCAGGCTGCTGATTATCCATCAAGGTTAACTGTTGAGTTTCTGAAAAGCAATGACCGCTAGACTCGGTTTGATGAACTTGAGAATTTACTCCTTCAACAAAGTTTGTTGTGCCAGACAGTGGCATTCGTTGCATTGATGCAACCTGTGATTGTTGTTTCCTGATCATTGCATTCTGTCGTGATAGAATCTGCTGCTCACTAACCATCATTGGAAGGTTATTATATACTGCTTGTGGATCCCATGGTGGTGGAGGTTGGATCCTTTCAGCTGGTTGGAGTTGAACGGCTTGAGGAGGTTTAGTTCCATGCTTGTGCTCAACTACACTTGAAGCACCAGTGCTTGGCCCCTCGCCATTTGCACATTGGAAATCAAACTGTGGCAAAGAGGTTGCTGCCTGACTTGTACAGGCAAGCTTTGTACTTAGGGAAGGCAAGTAAAATGGTTCTGAATGGTTGTTTAGCCATGGCTGAGGTTCAGTGATGAGCTGTGATGGCTGGGCAGGATACATTCCAGTAAGAGGGAAATAACCCGATGGTGTTTGGGAATTTCGATTTTGAAAAGCATTGATTTGCATGAGAGTTGCCATAAGAAGATTCATGTTGCCGCTGGAGCCCCTCATTTTTGCTTCCGAAGAAGCACAAGCATCCATATTTTTGCTTGTGCCAGCGGCATTTTCTCCCATCAAAACAGAGTTATTGCTTCCACCATCGTTGGGGTGAGCTCTGATCCCTTGTAGACAATTTGGGGTAGGAATCGTTTCTCTTGTATTATAACCATTCACACCTCCACTGGGAAAGACCATCTTTCCTTCAAAAGAAGCAGGTGAGATAGAATTGAAACTGTTACGAGGCATACGGCCATCATTAACCCCAGTCAGACAAGCAGGCCTGTTAAGTGCAGATGACACAGGGACCAGATCTGTTTTCTTGCAAGAAGAGGTGGGCATCCAGGACGCGAAATTTGGAGTTTCAATTGGATGTTTTCCTAGTTTCTTATTAGCAACCATTTGAGCTGTCGGTCCCAAATCTTTAACGAATTGCTTGAGACTTTCCTTGTATCGGATACTTGAATCTGGAATCTGCAGCATCGAATCACATCAATCAGCCAAAGGTAGGGGATGCAATGAAAATTATTACATTCAAAAGATTATAAGCTAATCAGGTTTGGCATGGGACACTCGAAATTAACTGAACTGGTAGAATTTCACATTTAACAAAAATGGAGGAACTGAGGATTCTATTTCACCAAACCAAGTTATCATAAAAGTAGTGTTTTGGCTCTTATTTGCTGACAGCAATAATCACACATGGTTGTGAACCTAAAGAAAGAACACTTGCATTTCATTTTTAAGATCTTTCAAACAACGAAAGCAAACCCCAGATGAACAAAGGAAAATTGCATGTTTCCTTTTTCTATATTTCCTTGCCTCTTCCAGCAGAACTTCAAAAGGTCAGGAATGGAAGCAAGCAACAAATTCTGCATTGTTTTACAAGTGGATTAGGCCAATTCTTGTGTGCATGCTGTCTCAAATCGTGCTTGAAGGCTATAGTTTCACATATTATGCACGTCCCTGTTCCTTTGTGCGCGCGCATAAGTGCATGCATTTGTGTCAGTATTTATATGTGTTGCATTCTCAACATTAAACGATGAACTTACAGGGTTAAGCACTTTTGGGGTATTATAGAGTTCAGAAATTATTGACCCTTTGCCATTGATAGAGGAGGTTTGAGGCATATATGTCATACGCCTAGCAGTTTCAGAGGATTCTAAATTTCTACCATCTCTTGAGCCTGTTCAATGCAAGTAAAAGACGAAGTGTTAGCTTCCTTTCACTCTATAAGCAGATGGCCTTAGAGATAAAAGCATATCTAGCTGTGTAAAGAAAACAATAAGAAGGGTTTCAATTTAGTAATAGTTCAAAGCTTTGACATATTCCTACTGAAATGAAACCCGATTAATTCCCTTGAAAAATTAATTATGGGAAAATGATGAAAAAGAATTGGAAATAACATTCATAATCAAACAATCATCATTGTTGCTTACCGACCTAGAACGGTTCACTTGGATTATAAAAGCTGTTCTTCATGACTTCCTCACCTCTAATTGAAGATTATTAGCCTTGGCGGTCTAATTCAAGCAAGCTCATGTATTTCAAGTGCGTTTAACTCAAGCTAAAAATTATATTGTGGAGCGTATGATAAGAAATTCATGAAGTTACGGTTTCCACAGTTAGTTTATGAACACGAGTTCAAGGAATCACTTTCCTGTGCGTGAATCCACCTTCTACGATTAAACAGACTACAGCATGTTACTTCATTATCCTCAAAATTGAATTAATTGACTCCACGGTAAGTATGTTTAGTCAAGACTACAGATCCGATTCTCTTACCAGAAGGCATTTCATTTTTTGTATGGTCAACGAGAGGATTTAGACGTGTTGAAGCAGGGTGTGTTTGGGTAGCTCTCTTTAGAGAGGTGCTGTTGAGTGAAGCACCGTCTCTGAACCCAGCAAGTTTAACAAGCTTATTCAGTGCACTTCCAGTTTTACCATGGCCTTTCTGAGCAGGGTGTCTTCTCATCCTCGAGTTCTCCAGTTCAAATTTCTCAGGTTCAGTTCTCAGAGAATTGAAGACCCGCTGAGCGAGTTCACTTATAGCACGGGCCTGGAAACCATGGTGTTGCATTAACGGAGACGCATAATATCTCCTATTACTGCTACCATTTTGCAAAATAAAACTTACAGCTATACCTCTGAATAATAAACAGTTGTCGATGAATTAAATTTCATTGCATTGCTGGATATAAGGAACACATCACGCTGCAGAATATTTCAAAGAAATCAAGATCGTTTTAGGACGTTACTGAGGGAACATATAAGTTGATGGATAACTCTTTCTGAATCAGTGTTTCGCAAACTGACCTGCAGTTTTTTCTACTTTCAATAATGAATGACCAGATTTTAAACAACAACAATGGTGATTACAAAGACTTGGACATTCACATTTAGCAGAGAATAAAAGAATAAGCTTCGGAACCTGTACTGAAAGTTAAGTACAACGCAGGTTAAAGGAAAATAGGATGCTATATTTGGAGCATTACCTGAAATTGATCCAGACTTGTATACATCCCTTCTTGAAGTTTAGCCCTTATGGTTCCAAAATCCATCGGCTCTTTAATGATATCGTAATAGCCAACAACCTTTCAAGGAAAGAAACACTATTAACATCATCGTGGATGGGGAGAGAGCGAGTTGTTTCAGTTCTGTGTACACAGTGAACAAGAACCCCGATTACTGACCTCATCAGGGTCAACTGGCTGTGCAAATATCTCTTGTGTGTCTCTCCTGTGTCAGAAGAAATGTTGAGATATCAAAAATTGCATCGTATTTATATGATGGTCTATGTCATCCAAGAAGTGGAGTCGACTCTTTTCTTACAAGTACACGAAAGAATGCTATCAAAACAATCACCTCTGTAGGATGTCAAGGATAAATTCCAGAGTCTGTTTCTTTGGCATACCCTGCAATGACGAATCTGCAGGTTGATCTTGAAAAATCAAGTGAGTTAATTAATAACTGGGAACTTAAAAGAGCAGATCAGACTCAAATTATGTTTTTAACCACAGATTAAGTAATGATGGGAAGCTTGTAAGCAGGACATTGTATATATTTAAATTTAGGACAGACCAGTTTCCATTGAAGCACCACCATCCATTGGGTTTCCGCCTTCCTGCAAGCACATAAATGCAAGTACAGGTAAATAACACACGAAATAGGATACAGGAATATTTCATCATAAGAGTGATCAGTATAAAAAGACATCCAAACACGAGGAATTAAAAATAAGAGCATTCCATAATCTGCAGCTCCAAGTCGACAATCCAATGAACTCCCTTCAGGCGCACCAAATTGTATCTTATTAGCACGATTTCTCATGTCAGTCATGGCATATCTTTCCCTGTTATTCCTCAGTGGTGACCACCTCTCGTTTTCTTACTCTGAGAAGCATCAGAAGGGATGGGAAGTGGTGTAGGAAGCCTCACAGGATTAGGCTTTAGAAACTTTTCTATTTTCTTCAAAACCTCCACTCGAAGACATATTCCAATGTTCCCCGATGGATCTCCCTAGATAGAATCCTCTAGTGCAGCAGGTGTTGATTTTGAAGCCAAGTGGCTACAAGGACGAGCTTGCAGAGATTGGGGTGAGGCCTGAAATACTTCTGTCTGCTCGATAAACCCACAATATCCGTGAGAAGTCGAGAAAATCCTGCAAGGAACATTTTCTTGGAACCAAGAAGCTGAACATCACAAGAGGTCATGTTGGCTAATTCTGTGTGACTGCCGGGAGTGATCATGAGCTTGGCAGCAAAAGCAGTCCCAACAACAGCAGAAAGATTGGATGCAACAATTACCATTCTTGCTTCTACAAAATCTAGGATCTTTTGAACCAAGAGTGAAAGCTCGATGCCATGCATCTATGATCTTTGGAAGGACATGATCAGGTAGTGGTTTACAAATTGTTGTTGAAGCCATTGTAGAAATCACTACAACTTAGAATTCAATGGCAAAAGGTCTTGAAAATCAACAAAATTCAAATCCGCTTGGTTGCCAGTCCTGTCAACGATACGGACATAATGCAGTGGATGATGAACAAGGGCTTCAAGTTCTGGGAACTTGAAGTGGTACTTGTCACGAATGATATTACAAAAAATGAGTATTTCATTGTCATTGTCAACTGACAAGGCAATGCAGTCCATAATTTGTAGGACGTCAGGATGAGATCGGAGTGAGAAGCCTTATTTTGATCAAGTTCATGTTTGACCCTGTACATAACTTACGTATATGTGTTCAACAATTTGGAAATGGTATCCAAGTCAACTACTTCATCGTCATGATAATCAACAAGATGTTGCATGCATGCATGTTCCCTTCATCAAGCCCTACAAGCATAGAATGATCAACAAAGGTAGCCATAGCCCTAGACAAAGCCATAGGCATGTGGGGTGGGATGGACTCGGACCAGTAATTGGTTGATAAGAGCCTTGGCTAGCGACTAAGGTGGTTTTATGGAATGGAATATCAAAAGAAAGAGAGAGAGAATTGCTGAATAGAAACAACTGCAGCAGCCAAGGGAGGAAGAAGAAATCCTGAATCGGAGGTATATCTTTTTTTATTATTATGAGATTGAACCAGCTCAGTTTGTCACTAAGCCGCAGCCGCGCCCAGGCCGTGTTATTGTTTTTTAACCTAATATATTAAAAAAGAAACGTAGGTGATTCAACGCTACGGACTTCCGGACTCGATGGATCTTTGTATAGTTAAGTATTAGGATGCTATGATGAGTAAATGTTTTTTTTTTCAAAGGAAAAACGGACTTCCGGACTCGATGGATCTTTGTAAAGTTAAGTATTATGAGTGGTTTCTTCTTATTTCTATTTCTTTCACTTTCATAGTGCCTTATTTGTTTATTGGACTTTCAGGCTATTCAGGCTATTCAGTAAACTATAAAATTAATTGTAATACACGTAAGCTGACCCAGACATCTACATTAATAATAATAAAAAAAATATTATGAGTAATATGATGAGTAAGTGTTTTTGAGACTAATTAGTTAATTTAATAATATAATTATAAAATAAAATTCAATAACAAAAAAAATCAATATTATATAAAAAAATTCTTTAAATATTCTTAAAAGTTTTTAATAATCTTATTTGATAATTAACAAAATGAGAATATAATAATTTTATAAAAAGAAAAATATAAAAAATTAAAAGCTCACAATAAACACTAAATAATGAATTAAAAAATTGTTTTTTTTTAAAAACTCTAATAATGCCAAGCACATAGCTGACTTATAAAAATAGAATAACATTATATAAAAGAAATTAAATAAAATAATTAAATGCTAAACAAAAAAAAATCAATAATAAAACATTAACAAAAAAAACTTTAGTTAATACAGGTTAACTCAACGAACACATAACAACCTAGTATATAAAATCAGAATAACCTTATTAAAAAAAGTGATATAATTGATAAATCTGAAGACATAATAATATAATATCAAATGGTAAAATTAAAAAATAAAAATAAAAAAACCTAAAAATAAAAAAACAAAGTCAAACCAAACTAATCTTTAACCAACCATATAAAAGACAAACCCAAAAAATGAGGAAGCAAATAAAATTCTTAACTATCTAATTTTTTTTAAATAAATAGCAAATAAAAAAAATAATGATTAAATCTAGTACAAAAATTAAAAAATATTAAATGAAATAAAATAATGAGGAATTAAATTAAAAAATAAAAAAATCAAGAAAAAATTATAATTTAAAAAATAATAACCAAGTTGGATAAATGAAATAATTGAATAATGAGAAAATACAAAAAATATTCTAACTTTATAAATTATTTCAAATAAAATAAATAATAATAATTTTTTAAAAAACATCAAGTTAAATATCTGATCTGAAAAATTAAAAGATTTGACACGAGAATTAAAAGAGAAAAAGAGGTTACCACTATTAAACTCATAGTCTGCTGACCACATGCACCATCCAAGCATAGTGAGAAGCACTTTTCAATACCATCTTGGAATATGATGTTCGGCCAACAAGCAATGCTATATGCACTGCTCGAATTCCTCGTACAAACCCAAGTGTTAATGCATTCAATGCAAGCATTGATTATTTTTTTTAATAATATTTAAATTTAATAAATGACCAAATGGCTCCTCTTATCCTCCATGATAATAATAAAATGCCATAATAAAAAGATATATAAAAACCACGGATAATAAGTTTAGGATTCTTTGTTATTAGAGGTAATTTAATTATTTAATTATTTTTTTTTAAAAAAATGAAAAGCTAAGCAGTCTTGGATGTTAGACGATTAATTTATTCCTTTTAATGTGAAAAAAAGAGGTAACCAATTCAACTCAACTCTGATCAATTTAATAATATCAAACAAATATACACCCTGTGAAAAGACAATCCACCACCAATTTATGCTTCCATGGCTTTTGTTATGAATGGTAAAAACATCATTAGAAATCTATAATGCAATGGCTGTCGCTCCACAGTGAATCATTAATGCCTTCTAGGTTTATATATATATATATATATGTGATAACATGCTGGACCTCACAACCAAGGGCCTCGGCCTTACATCGTCTTTAAGAACTTTTAATTCACTAAAGGGCCTCGATCAGGCCATAGCCATTTGCCCAAACATCTATATGGGACTGACGACAAGGGTGCCCGATCCAATCAAATAGCACCGCGTTAATTTTTATCATAGGTAAATAATTTTGTTTTTTAAAAAAATCAATAATAAAACATTAACAAAATTTTTTTAGTTAATATAAGTTAACTCAATCAGTATATGACAACTCAGTATATAAAATTAGAATAACCTTATAAAAAAAAAATGACATGACTCAGATATAATAATATAATATTAAATGGTAAAAAAAAAAAAAAGAATCTAGAAATAAAAAAACAAAGTCAAACCAAACTAATCTTTGACCAACTATATAAAAAACAAACCCAAAAAATCACGAAGCAATTAAAATTCTCAACTATCCAATTTTTTTTTAAAATAAATAGCAAATAAAAAAATAATGATCAAATCTAGTACAAAAATTAATGAAATAAAATAAATAAAGAAAGAAAAAAATAAGAATCAAATCTAATATTAATATTAAATAAAATAAAAGAATAAGGAATTAAATTAAAAAATAAAAAAAATTAAAAAATTAAAATTTAAAGAATAATAACCAAGTTTGATAAATGAAATAATTGAATAATAATAAAATACAAAAAACATTCTAACTTTATAAATTATTTTAAATAAAATAAATAGTAATAAAAAAATAAATTTTAAAAGTTAAATGGTTGATTTAAATAATTAAAGGGTTTGACATAAAAATTAAAAAAAAGAAAATACCAATAATAAACTGGTAGTTTGCTAACCACATGCACCACCCAAGCACAGAGAAAGCATCAAGCACTTTCCAATATCATTTTGGAATATGATGTTCGGCCAACAAGCAATGCTATATGCACTGCTCGAATTCCTCGTACAAACCCAAGTGTTAATGCATTCAATGCAAGCATTGATTATTTTTTTTAATAATATTTAAATTTAATAAATGACCAAATGGCTCCTCTTATCCTCCATGATAATAATAAAATGCCATAATAAAAAGATATATAAAAACCACGGATAATAAGTTTAGGATTCTTTGTTATTAGAGGTAATTTAATTATTATTTTTTTGATAGAATGATCAACAAAGGTAGCCATAGCCCTAGACAAAGCCATAGGCATGTGGGGTGGGATGGACTCGGACCAGTAATTGGTTGATAAGAGCCTTGGCTAGCGACTAAGGTGGTTTTATGGAATGGAATATCAAAAGAAAGAGAGAGAGAATTGCTGAATAGAAACAACTGCAGCAGCCAAGGGAGGAAGAAGAAATCCTGAATCGGAGGTATATCTTTTTTTATTATTATGAGATTGAACCAGCTCAGTTTGTCACTAAGCCGCAGCCGCGCCCAGGCCGTGTTATTGTTTTTTAACCTAATATATTAAAAAAGAAACGTAGGTGATTCAACGCTACGGACTTCCGGACTCGATGGATCTTTGTATAGTTAAGTATTAGGATGCTATGATGAGTAAATGTTTTTTTTTTCAAAGGAAAATTTGAGACTAATTAGTTAA